CTGAATCACAGTAGGTTGGGTGGGGTGGTGGGATGGGGCTGGGGCAATAGCGTTCCGGGCAGATGTCCGTGCAAAACAAGGGCAGCTGGGTTCTGAATCAAAGTAGTGGTGGTATGGGGCTGGGGTAATAACGTTCCTGGGAGACGAAGCCTGACTGGAAAAACAAGAACGTCACATGCCAGCGGACATGTCAGCTTGGTTTCGTCGTTGTGTTTGGTTTCCGAATATTCGTTGGTTTCAGAATATTTTTTGTTTCCGAATAATGTTTGGTTTCCGAATCATCGTTTTGGTTTCCAAACAGGGCTTGGTTTCGGAATCATCGTTTTGGTTTCGGAAGAAAACCGCAACCTTCAGAAAGTGTGGGAGACTGGACCGGAACACCCTTCAAGAAGATGAATAAGAATCGTCGACAGAGTCAGCCCGTTGTACGTGTTTGGATTGTTTAGTGGTTGGCTTGCTTTGTCGCATTGCGTTTGTCCAAAGCCATCAGCTACCTCACCTCATCATCCAGTACATGACACCGAAAACTCCCACACAGACCTGTACAGAAAGAACCAAACAATGCTTAAAAAGACTTGAAAACATTCCATTTGCTGCAAACTTTACTGCAACTGTTCAGCCAGACTCGTTTTGCCAGCCAGACTCTTTTGACCCAAACCGGTTCCGCTTGTTTGATCACCTTGACTCACACAGACACTTATTCGCTCTTGAGCGACACCCACCCCAAAGCGAGCCATACACCCCCGCTGCGCTGCAAACCCCCGCTACGCGGACGGCTTCGGCCCGCGGGACGGCTGCGGCCCGCGCGACTGGGAGCCATGGCATACCTCGCAAACTCCCTTTTTGTGAGAAATTTGAGTCCGCAGGCGCATGTCCGGTCACAACGGTTCTCCGTCTTGCACCAGCTTGTCAAGGTTCGCCCTGTCTTCGCACAAAGAAGAATACTGTCAGAGAAAATGCTAAGTATTTTTCTCCACCATGATCAGACCGTCCAGTCCGGGGTGAATAACCATCCAAAACACTCCAATAACAATTAGAGGACGTATTCCACGCTCTTCCTGGCATGATCATTCAGGAAAACCATCCAAAACACATTGCTCCAACGAGACCACTTCCAGGTCAATGAGACGATGATCCGGGAGGTCGGGAGGGCGGACCGCGGACCGCGGACGCTGCGACCAAACAGCTAAAAGCTTCAGGATCCTCACAGAGAGACCTCGAAGACTATACAAACCCAGAAACCATTTTAAACCCCTTCTTTCTGAGATAGGAAAGGCCTTGTTCTCGATGGTTGGTAGTGCAAAACAGAGATCACTTCTGCCAACTGACGACTTCGGTGGTTTTTCCGTCAGCGTTCTTGGATTGTTTGCCGTCTTGGTGAACCCCGAGCTGCCCCGAGCTGCCAGATCTTCGCGAGCTGCGATGAGATCGAGAAAGTGATCTTCAAGTTCCGGGCCCAAGAGCTGCGGAGTGAAGTGGCCCCAACAACTGGCGGAGTGAAGGTTCCAGCTGAGTAAGCAGCTTGGGATAGCTTGGGCGGATTTCTAGCTGAGGTGTGTTTTTGGAGTGGAGTGGCTGAAACATGCTGTTTTGATTTGTTTAGCATGTGTTTAATTCTTTTTACATGTTTACACATGGTTGGACCATTGTTCATGTCCTGCAAAAAAGACCAGAGGAAAAGGTAGAGCTCACTTGGCGATGTCATGCGATGTCCATGGATGTTGGTCCATTCGAGCATGCATGTCACCGGGTGACTCCCGAGGGGGTCGGTGCGGCGGGTCCAACCGTGGCCGATCCACGGCCTGAGGCCATACCCAAACAATGAAACCCAGTTCTTCGCGCAGATCAACTTCAAGACGGGCTCCGAAAAAGAATGAAAAGATGGGCGGGTGGGCTCCGGGTGGGTTGCTTTGCTTTTGAGAGATTTGCAAAGGGTGGGCAGATGTGGGTGTTTTGCTGGGAGGTGCAGCTGTTCCAGAGAACCTGGCTTTCTAGTGTTTACTGTATTTCTTGCAGTATGAATATACTACGCATGTGCAAACTGTTTTTCAACAGATTCATACTTTTCGGAAGAGTGTTCCCTTGAAGTTAGTTCTGTGAAAAGCGAGCGAGTTGCACAGGTTTCTACATCCTCGTTGGAAGGATGTAAGATGACCAAATCCGGTGTTGGAGTTGGAAAGTGGGAGATGCCGTGGAAATCCTGGCCAATCCCAACTCTACGACCAGGCGCCTGAATACTGTGAATCCAAATAAATCCAAGGCATTCAGTGTCTAAGACTAGGACGACCGTCGACCGTTTGTATAGGGCGTCTCTATTCTTCCATCGGAATGTGACGAAGTCGGTCCGACGCCAAACCGATCCGACGGACACTCCGATCTCCGAACGAACTGGACTGTCCGATCTTGAAGTCATTGACCACAAGAAAAAAGCACGGATGTGTTGCTTGGCGAAATCAGTCCGGATCCCCTCGGTGGGTTTTGTTCCGGTGAAGTATGGCTGTGGGAAGCAATGTGAACCATCAATGTTGATCCTCGAATGTATTCAAGTGGCTTCGCGACGAGGTGGTCGGCCGCACCGTTTTGCTTCGAGAGAGACAGAGGTCGAGCGCGTTTGGAAAGGTCAATTCATGTCCAGTCGCCAACAATCCGGGAGGTTGCGTAGCCGAATGAGCAGGGCATCGAGATATAGTTTGTTGTAGTCACTCTAGTCTCGACCCCTTGAAGGCACTGTTGGACAGAGTATGAGTTGGACCATCAGGAAAATGTACCATTTCAAGGGGTTGAACAAATGATATATATTATATATATATAATTATATATATACTGTATAAAAATAGAGTCACAATGTACAATCAAATTTACAGTATGATGTTAACCTGGAGATGACAAGTACTACAGGACCCGGTCCATCAAAGTCATACTACTACTGTCTCGATTTCTTTGAACAGCTTGGATCATTTGTCACTGCAAGTATACCACTTCACTACTTCACGTCCTGTCCCGGATCATATGGCGCACCACCTCCACATCAAATATGGCAAAACCTTCCACTTTCCCTGTGACTGTGTCTTTGCATGTTTTCTTCTACTACCACTTCCCCTCCAGACACACCTCTTTCCGTTCTCAAACAAAAAGCCCCCCCCGCCAGAGCTAACGCTTAAAGAGCTCAGCGCACGCACCCCTCAGAACCTTCGGTTCAGGCGGATGTATCGGATTTTCTCCCACAACGGGGTGAGGAGTCACCGAGTGGGGATGGCTTGTGCACCTCCTCGCGCCCCAGCGACTCACCGGGACTTCCCCGACTCACCGTGGCCTCGGGTGAGTCCGGCCTCGGCGGTTCATCGGTGCGGCGCTTCCTCGGTGCAGGACCTCTGCTGGGGTCTCTGAGGGCTCCAAGCTCAGTGGCACCAAGATTTTAGGCGGGTGGCCCAGCGGACCGGGGCTGTAGGGCCTGGCTGTGGGGGTGGCCGTGGGGTTGGTGGAGCTCGGTGAAGAGCTGACGAGCAGGGAGTCCGGAAGGCTCAAGCCGATGAAGACGTGCATGTCACCTGTCGCAGTGAGGGCGTTGTCGAAGACGTGCAGACTGTTGTGACTGCCAGGTGTTCAATGCATGTGTGGAGTCATTGACCCCATTCGACAGGCAGGTTCGCCGAGTGGCTGCTGGTCATTTGAGATCCCGGAAGGGATAGAAATTAGAGAGGAAGCGTTTTCCTTGGATGCGTCTACTACCTCAAGTACTTACAGGCGATATCAAAGAATGTCTTCCCCAAGGGATCCTTGAGGCGCCTTTGATCAAATAGTGCAGACAAAACCCTTGATTCTTAACATTTGAGTGCAATGAATTGAATCAAACATTGTCATGCCACTGCGATCATCACAGTGGGCTCGGCACAAGGTTGTACAAACCAAGTTTCCATCTAGATCGACTAGCATGTATCAACATCCCATCCCATGGTCGCTTTGGTTTGACCGGCCCAGGCGGAACAGACCCGTCAGGCCACGGTCGCTCAGGCGACGGCGGCCCTGCTCGGGGGCCTGCACGTTCCGATCCTCCAAACGTAGCTTTTGGTCGCGTTGGAGTCGCGTGTTCGTCGTCCGAAACGGAACGCCGCCAAAAATGGAACGAGTGACAGGATGGCCGTTCGAACGATGAACGGACTTGCGAGTAGGGCACTGTTGGTAGGAGTTGTGCGTGCGGAGAATATGTCTAAAATTGTCTAAAGGAATCTGGAGTGATTGCCAGTTCATGGATGACAAGGACAGTTATGGATTTAGCCGATGATTTAGCTGCAGGCTGGAAGGGTCTCAGTTCAGAGAGGGTTTATAGTTTCGAGTGCGTTTCAACCGATGTTGCTCCTTTACTTTGGCGCGTTTCGAAGCCTTCGGGTTGAACGATGTTGAAAGGATCGCTTTGAAGTCCGATGTTTGATGAGGGCACTCTCCAAAGTTTAGAGCTAAGGCAAGGTACCTCTGCAAAAAATTAATGATTTCCTGCATGTAAAAATAAAGAAACACTCCGCTTGGCGTTTGTTTTTGTCATGTGTTGTTCCCCCTTCTTTGCATTCCTTTCTTCACACCCGATTTCGCCTTTTTTTTGAGGCCTACAGAAGAAGACCAGGCAAACGAAGAGTTTGAGATGCAGGTTGGGATCCAAGCGGAGTTTACAATAGTAAAAAACTTTGATTTTGCGTGCGTGCTCGTGCACATTTAATAGCCAGAAAGCTATGTCGTGCAAGTCCTGCAAACGTGGTTGTAAGAGGATGGCTCAGCATGGGCGCTTCGTATTCATCGGCAATCCTATCCCAGTTTGGAGGATTGTCAGGCTTCAGACACTTCCATCCAATGTTGTTGATAAATTGGTTCCCCATACGGAGATCTGGCACAAATCCCGAGGAGGGGTGATGAATCAATGGTCAACAGTGGAGATATTTTGTGAACTAAAGCCATGCAAAACGTTCACAGTCGTTTGAACACGCTTTCATGCCTCAGAGGCAGCCGTTCACTCAGGCGGAACACGTCCGAAAGGCCAAAGAGGCAGCAGAGGCGAGCTAAAAAGAACGGTATCCACAGACAGAGCTTTGGCACGGGGAACTCCTTGACAAAACCAGAGGTGTTGGGTTTTTCTAGCAAAACCAGGGCGTGTCCTCATGGGGCGTGGTCTCCTTTCGTCCCTCGATTCTGGCAGCCCCAAGAGGGAGATAGATGTGTAGACACACAGAGACAGAGACACGGATAGGTGGATGGATTCGATTCGATTCGATTCGATTCGCGAATCGAATAGAATAGAATAGAATAGATAGGTAGGTAGATAACGGTAGATTGATAGACAGAGAGATTGGCAGAGAGAAACAAACAAAGGGTGGATAGGTTGATCCCCTTCTATGTATTTTGGTTGACATGTGTTCCTATCAGACGTCCTATCTATTTCTAGCCACCATGTTCTGTTTTGTTTGATTCTTGAGTGACACTTAGATGCCTCACATGGGAGGTAAAGACAGTTGTTCAAAGAGGATAAATGAGCTTTGTTAAACCGGATGAAAAAGGTATGGAAAAAGGATAAAAAAAAGCGGAAAAAGGGGATGAACATTTGGATCATCGGCCAACAGAGTCACCCTGTGTCGAAAAAGACGTTGCCAAAAACACGCGCCGAATGTCCGTCGCTGGGCCTTTGGGCTTGGGCCAGGAGCTTCGGCTTCGGACGTGCCATATCGCCGGATTAGCAGAGGACATCAAGGAGGAGTCCATCAGGACGGGATTTTTCAAGCCCTGATCAATCAGATCATATCAGATCCCTCAGTCGGCCCCGATGGATCCTGCGCCAAGGTTGTTGATGACAACGTTGCATGGCAGAAGAGGTATGATCCCCCCATCAGCCACGGTCCAAGAACCATCACTGTAGGACACTAGGACCCCGAGCCTCTCCTGCAGAGCCTCTCCGGTTCCCGGGTTCGGGATGGCCTAAAGCTGGCATGTGAGGGAAGGTCCGAGAGTGTCATTCCGTCATCCTTCATTCCATAAAAGGCGAACCGGCACTGCACAAAAGGGTTCTTTTTGGCACAGCTCGAACAGTAGTTATTGAAGCTGCCGGGATGCAACAATTGAGGAAATGACATGCGCAGATCAGATGTCCAGTATTTCGTGAGAGGAGGGGGAAAAAGAGTAATCCTCATGTACATGGAATGTGGACAAAACCAACCTGGAGTTCCCACATTTGCAGAGATCAGTGTCTATCTACCCTTCTTTGAGTGCTGCCCTTCCTCAAACGAGAATCATGTGATGGGAAACAAGGTTCTCCTCCTCTGGGTGTGCTGCTTTCATTCTTGATGCTCAGAATGACATGGTTTGATGCGCTTAAAAAAGCAAAGACATGCAAAGACTATGGCAGGAAGCTCTGTGAAGGCTTCGGCGAAGTTGAAACGCTGAGGCGCGTGGGTTGTCGTCAGCATCAATAGGGAAATTCAATCAACCAAAAAAGAGAGTGAGCGAAATGGTATTGGTGTTCATCGGGCTGGAGTGGATTCACTGTTGACCCAATTCTTTTTTCGAAGTGAAATGGGGTTTGCAAGACGGGAAAGCCAAAGAGAGACACGCAGACAGATAGGCACGGCAACCTATATAATAGCGATGGCCTCCAACCTAGCAATGGCCCTCCAACGTAGAAGCGATGGTCCAACCTAATAGCGATGCCCTCCAACCCAATAGCGATGGCCTCCAACCCAATAACCATTGCCTCCAACCTAATAGTGATGGCCTCCTTGCCTCCAACCCAATAGCGATGGCCTCGAACCTAATAGCGATGGCTCCAACCTAGCAATGGCCTCCAACCTAGAAGCGATCAATGTACAAGCGATGGTCTCCAACCTACAAGCGATGGCCTCCAACGTAGAAGCGATGGTCTCCAACCTACTAGCGATGGCCTCCAACCTACAATGGTCACGACATCCAGAACATTCTCTTCTTGGGAGCGACACCCCAACCTCGTTGCAGGATCGACACCGCGACCGATGGCCGGGGGCGCCCGGATTTGGTGCTGGGAAATGTTGGTTCGTCCCATATCGTCCCAATAGCAGGTGGCTTTCACCAAAAAGCTTCATGCAAACATCCACCCACCATTCATGTCCTCTCCACCTCTTGAGACAGAAGGCCAATCCAGAAGGCATGTGGCTCTTGGCTGGTGATTGGCCATTTGGCAATATCTAGGCCGCCAAATAGATAGAAAAGTAGTAGATCCTCACTGCCACTATCTATATTTGGGGACAACGATCAAAACTGTTCACAACTCATAGCATCTAATAACTCTTCACACGACCGAAATCAAAGAACGTGGATGCCTTTGGCGCACGGATCGCGTAGCTTGCAACCGCTTGCGACCACCAACCCGGGACTTTGCCGCGCGACCAATGACGGTGCGCGCGCGTGTGATATGTTGTGTTCACCGTAAAGTCTTGGATGACTGAAAGGAAAGGATGCAAGCGTGGCTTTGTCGAATTCATGTTTGTGGTGGTGTGAAGAGAAGAGTGGCAAGAAGAAGTAGGAGATCCACATCACAGAGAGAAAGCTATATCTCACTAATGTTCACATGACAATGGGAATGTACTCGATTGCTCTTACTTCTCCAGAGTAGTATTATATATAGTATATAGTATATAGTATTATCTTTAGCTAGTGTATAAATATATATAATATATCGTTTGCGTTTCGTGGGATGTTTATATCTTGCGAAGCTTGCCCTGAGGCCAGACCTTCGGATTGGTCGAGTTCAAGGACTTCTGGTGCTGAATTTACCGGCCAGGTTCATGTTTAGGTGTTGAATTTCTGAGACGAGTCAGAATGCATGTTGCCATTTGGCAGCTGTTCAAAACAAATATGGGTGCTAAGAAGAAGCTTGGCCGCAAGTTGCACCAAGACAAAGCCAGTTTGGACTCATTTCGTTCCCTGACCGTCGGCCGTGGGCCGGTCAGAGGAGACCAAAGTCGCACATGCCGCAGCCTGAGTGGCGTTTGGGGTGCTGTTTTTCGTGGGGAGCGATGTGGAACCACCGGAACCACCGGACATGATCGGTTCCTGGTGTCCCCTGCGTGCCTTTTGTTGTGCCTTCATGGTTTTTCGTGTTCAAAAACTTCAACACAAAACGATTGCAAAGCGCCGCAACACTCCAAATGCCAATTTGCCAGAGTGCGTTCAAGACTGACTCACTGTTGAGGTGGTCAAGATGCAAAGATCTTTCTTGGTGGAGGACCGCGTGTTGGTCTTCACTGAGGCAGGAAATTCTACAAAACACTGGTCAACGACATAGCGGGGAAATGCGGGGAGGTTGAATGAAGCGGCTGTTCTGCTGTATACCATGGCCATGATTGCCGTGAACTGGATGTGTTCACTTCGACCATTGCAAACCATGGCTACAGGACCCTGCCATCGGGGTATTGACATGTTTGGGATCACAGCAAACTCCACAATTGTTCTGCTTCTGAAACTGAGAGTCAATTTCGTTCTCCAGACTTGTACCTAGCCTCCACTGGAAAAACAAAAAAAACATGCACGAACTGGATGTTTGTCGAAGGCGAAGTCCCATGTGGACAATGCCAAAGTGGAAGAGATGCCAGGGCCCCAGACGTGTCGCGCAAGGGGTTCGCACCTCGACACGCTAAGCGCAAGCACCGAATGCGCTGACAAGAAGAAAGACCCGGCTGACCACGGCCCAACTGCTTGGCAACCGGTTGTCCAAGGTTCCTTTCTCTTTGGAACCGGAACTGGAACTGGCTACCATTTTCGGGCCAAAGAATTGATGGCCATGTTGGAAATCCCAAGCACGAAATTCACCAACTGATGCAATTTGGAAGTCATGGAATCCACATCAATTTGTGTCTTGACCTCCAAAAACGGAAAGCTTCCGCTCCAAACACGTGTCCCATCTTCGGACTCGCCTCAGGACGGTGCAGTTTCAGGCCCCGGCCGCGCTGCTGAGCACCGCCGCGCTCCGTCCACGGCGCTCCGATGGCGCCGCGCGGAACGCCGTCCACTGCGCTGGCCGTATCGCATCAGGCGCCCATCATCGATGCGATGAACATGCGATCCGTCCGGGGTCCCCGAGTTCCGCACGGCCGGACGGAGCAGTGGGCCGGAACCGGCCGGGCGTGTGGGTGGGGGTGGGTGGTGAGATGCCGAGGTCCTGGCGCAGCAGGTGCCGTTGGCGGAGAAGTTGGCGAAGGCGCACCTTGGCCTTCTGGAGCTAGGGCTGGGGAGCTAGGGCAGGGTGACCACATCCGGTGGATTTCATGGCACAGATGACAGGGAACTATTAGAACGACGGATTTGCAAAGGGAACATTCAGTGTGGATTCCGCCAATGGTCAAGTCAAGCAGACAACCTTGACTGGAATTCCCATAAAGTGTATAGTGATTCTGATGCTAAAGCCAAAACAAATATGGTTCATAGTCTCTGAGCATGCTCCGGACACCCAAATTCCAGGAAATGCGTGGCCTCTAAACGATATCCACCAATCGGATGCTTAGTGTAATGATATGTACCCTCCGACTCACTAACATGGAAGTGGAAAATGACCTTTGGGAAGACTATTTTTATCTACAAACAGGGTGGTTTTCACCTCCATGTTAACTGTTAGTGAGTCGGAGTCTAAAGTAGACTTTCCAGGTACAATCCCAAAACGAATTTTGAAGTTCAATCCAGCTACAGTACATTCTCTAAAGCTGGATTCATAGTTGTCATACCTGGTGGTTCCAACATGTGTGTCCGTTTGAGTTGACAGGTGAAAGCCGCTGCCACAGAGATCTTGCCAGTGTCTTTGGCGTGGTTTGGAGGATTTGTGTCTTTGTGTCACTGTAGCTGAACTTTTTTTGATGTCTTTGTATCTATATAGATCCAAAAGAAAAAGCCCTAGGATGCGCATAATTAATTATGTACTATGCAAATTAGATGTTTGAGTTGTGCCATTTTCCACTTGTTCTTTACATTGCGATCTATATCGATCTATCACCTCAGTTACCTATCATTTATCATGGCCATTACATTCCACGCGTTCGCCAGGCGACGTCTCGCGAGGCCAAAGAGCCCGCGGTGAAGGCGAGAAATCGCGCGGGGTGACGCTTGGGAAATCCACCTGGGGGTTCCTTCCAGAGAGGGAGTTCCCCAGAAACAGACTGGTTACTACGTGCCTCTCCTTGCCTCTTTGTTCTAGTTCTTCTGGCGGAACGGGTTGTGGCTGTGCGACCTGGGGCTCGTCGGCAGAATCAGGGCAGAATCCGGGCAGAACCCCCGAAAGTGCGAAGGTTAAAGAAAAGGTCATTGTTCTCACACGAATACATGTACCAGACGGGTGGCACAGCCGGTCTTTGAATGGCCAAACCTCGGGCCGGCCACGTGAGTGGGTGTTTGTAGACAGTGACGGTTTGACCACGTCTTAGGGGTGGGAGGGTTGAAGGGTTGAAGGTTCTTAGGATTTCTTAGGGCTTAGGGTCATGACGACTTTCCACATCTTTTCCATTCATCCAGACTTGCCTGCTTGTGGCGGATAGGTGGCTGATAGGTCGTACTGGCAGCTTCAGTCATCTCAGCCCGCTGTGAAGGAAAAAGAGAAAAAGGAAAAGAAATTGAAAGACAAAAAGGCGTGGTTAGTTGTTGGGTTCATTTCGCCTCAACTCGTGTACTTTGAAACTCGCTTTGCTTCTCCTTCCTGGTGGCTAGTAGGAGCTTCGTTTGACTTGACAGTCACTTGCAGGAGTTAAGATATTGGACCCGTCTCTGCATGCAGGATAAGAAAGAAAAGAAAGAAAAGAAGAAAGATAAAAATAAAGAAGGACTGCCAGAAGGGTACCATCGTGGCTCTTTCTAAGAACGGACGTTCTGCATGCGTGTGGCATTGTTCCAGCTGTGCTGAAAATGCAAGACGGATGGATTGAATCCATCAAGTGGGAGGTCACCAGGTCACCAACCTGCTCTGGCTTGCTTCTGATCGACACATTGCTTCCTGTCTAAGTGAGTTCACCTTGTGACCGGTGCTGCACAGAGGAAAAGAAAAGAAAGACAAGAAGCACTGCTCTCAGAGCTTTCGACTTCTCGACGTTTGGGGCTCCCACGGGGGATGCAGCCCGGGGCTCCAGGGCTGCTGGGGGGGTATGCACTGCGTACGGATCATCACAGCACGAATCAGGTTTGAACAAGTTGTGCAAGGGTACCCCTGTTGGGGGGTCCACTTACTAGTAGGGGACACGAGAAGCGGAAGCGGCAGATTATCAAGACATGTGTGGCAAGTCTTTTGATGGGGCAACTGGGCAACAGGCCTGATGGTGAAGGGCACCGATATTTTTGCTTGGATCTGCGCAAGCAAGCCCTCCAAAACAATATCTTGTTGAAAGAAACCTCAATTGGCGGGAGACGGTTCCAAAGGGCACAGCCCTGCAGCGCCGGTTCCTCACGATCACGGGGTTCCCGCGAAGTGGGAGGGGTGACATCAATGTGTCCATCAACAGGATGTGTTGGATGTGTCCCTCCAAAATCCTGCAAATCGGACGGTCCCACCTTGTGTTTGAAGCCACTTTTGGATTTGGGGACGGATCCAACGTGATCCAATGTGATCCATGATCAGACGGTTGCTTTCGTGATAGCAAATGCTCGTAGGTCGTAAGAAGTGCCCGCACACGTTTATGTTCGATGCGTCTTAAAAGTATGAGCAAGGTGGCTAGTCAGCTTGCTAGTTAGCGGAAGGCCGCTTTCCACTGCATTCCATGCCATAAGGAAAGACAAAGAAAAAGAGAAGAAAAAGGAGACAAGAAGCTCCTGGCATTACTACTTAGGAGCAAGGAGGCTACTAGTAGCTCCTGGCATCGCTACTAGGAACAATAATAAGCTACTTTGGGCGCTCCTGGCCTTACTACTAGGAACAAGAAGCTACTAGTATAAAAGGACAAGAAGGACTTTCTCACTCACGGATGTTCTTGGACGGTCAGTACTTCAGCATGAGTCATGAAGCTTGAATGGTCAGGAAACAGTGCTGAACTGGGCAGCAAACCACTCAACTGAAGCATACAGGGAGGTCGGTTGCACAGCTGCTATTTTGCTTCTGATATATTGTGCAGAAGGTGCTGGAATGCAGGTGGGAGCAAGGGATGAGATGGATGCCAAGCAAACATAGTACGTGGAAGACATGAGAGGGATTTGGAGTAGGAGGCATAGAGGAGACCAACAATTCCGAGGCAAAGAATATCCCATTATCCCATCACATCTGGGCTGTTGCATGAACGAACTGAGCACCAAACAGCTTGTTTATTTGGGGATGAGAGCCACTGACATGTTTTTCTGCAAGTGCAAGGAGAAGAAAGGGGAGGAGATGGAGAAAGTTTCCGCTCCGCAGGCTCCGCAGCCGAAGCGACCAAAGGATGAAGCTGAGGTCTGGGATGGGCCATCGACGGGGTCACTTTTCTTTGAAAGTGTTGCCTGAAAATAGCCATAACGGCCACTTGCTGAGTGGGGCAGGCGGCTCTGAACACACTTCCAGCCCTTTGTACTGCACCAGGGAACTGTCGATAGAACCAACATTCCCTCCTTTGGGCAAGATTAGCTTTCTTGCTCATTGCGAGAGTCACTGGGTAGATGCTAGATCATGCTAGCATGCAGCGCGAATGAGGAAAAATTGAATGTCATTTCTTCAGCAGATACATCACGCCAGGCTGAATTGATGGAAGAGGAGGAAGAGGCCGGTTGTCAGGTGTGAACGGCTTGTTAAGCCCCTAAAATATCACCTAAACAAAGAATCCGTTAGAACACATATCCAAGACTAGCCGGGCTGTTCTCCTGATTTGCACGTTTTCACGTTGGATCCCGAGGTGCAGTACGGTCCGACAAAATAAAGTAAATAAGAACATCGGAAGATGTTCGTTGTCAAGGTCCGGACGCCCCATCTTTGCAGGGTTGACTCTCTTCTCCAGATCCCAAGCTCCTTTTCACGAGGAACCGGAACCCAAAAAAAAGCGTTGATCATGGTTGATCACGCCAAGCACCAGAAAAATATGAGGAAACTAAGATGTTGATTGAAGCGAACTGGAGCCTTTTGCGCCGCTTCGGGTAACCTGGAGCATTTGCACCGAAAAAAGCGACCCAGGAAGCCCAGTAAGCTCGGTGGTCTGTGGTGGTGTGCAAGAATTTTGGGAGTCGAATCCGAGTGCGAAAGATGAATGATCTCTAAGATCTGGGTCTTCAAAAGAATGTGAACAATGAGAGAAGGGCAGTCCTATGAGGTGCTGTGGCTGGAGTTTTCACGACAGATTTGCGCAGGAAGAAATGGTGGACATCGATGAAGAGGTCGAGGCTCCAACCTTAGGTATGATATTATGGTATGATTGGAATGTTCAGTGAGGCAATGAAGAAGGTCAAAGGCAAAAGTCGGATAAAGAGGTATGTTTCTTATCATCACAAAAACCCGTATAGAATGCTTAGCCTCTCCTTGCTTGCTGCTCCTTCAGCCAGGCATCATTTTTTGTGTTTTTCGTGGAGCACCACACTCTTGGCCTACCCTACTCATGGCCGGAGGTTCTGCCCGAGGGTGAAGTAGTAGGCCTGGTGGGCACCTCTTCGTTCGAGCCTGAGAGAATATGTTCTCACTTTCAATGGCATGTGCCCAGAGTCACGACTAACATCACTTCATGCTACGAACTAGGCCAATCCCATGCCAATTTGATCCCAGTTGTCTTCACCTTTCATGGTCGTGCTCACAATCCCTTTGCCCACCCTCATCCAGTCCCTGTTCGAGGTCCTCGTCCAGCTCGAGCGCGGGGACTCCTCAGCCGTTGACCATTTGGGTCTCAAGCAGATTGGTGGTCCATGCGATCCCAGTGGGGTGAAAAACGGCGAAACTCAAACAAAGAAAAAAGCAGTGCAGGTTCACATGAAGAGAAGAAGTGGTTGCATGTGGTTACTGACTAATTCCAGTGATCCAGTGATGCAGTTGGCGGTTTTGACCCACCCCAAATGTTGATTCCGATGTTGTTTCAGGTGCTTGTTTCTCTTAGTGAATCACAGGACGAGCTGAAACAGGCTTCTGCGAAGACGTCAGTGTACACATGGTCTAAGGTTCATTGGGTCGGGGCTTCAAGAGGATGGGCTTTGTGCTTTTCGGTGGTTAGACAGCACGTTCTCGCAACGTCAGACAGCATGTCAGACTGGGACTATATATCTGGGACTAAAAACGCACACGTGTCTTGACATGACTCTTTGGACGCCCATCCCCTACACCAGCCAAGTGTCCCATGACTTCTTGCACCATGCGCCGCGCCCAGGACTATGGCGCCGATGCGCTCGTGGAACTACCCATGGACGTCTCGAAGCCTGATGAGGTCTCTGACGTGGGGGGCACCCAGTCGGGCGGTGCTTTCGTTCAGGGGACCTTTGCAGCACGAACCGACGAAAGGCGTCGGCGGAGGCCATCGCCATGGTAGAAGGCGTGAGTTGGACGAAAACGCTGGGAGGTTGGAGATGGATCAAAATGGAGGTGCTGATGTTGATAGGATAGGATGATTAGATATAATGAGGGTGATGCCGATTTGGAATAGATGTTCTCCAGAAGGTTTGGAGAGCCGTCAGATGTTTTGAAGATGTGAGTGGCCTGGCCAAGGGGTCCACTCTTGCCCTTTGATGGTCACTGCCCTGAGAATCGCCCTCAAACACAGAGGGTTTGGTTGGTTCAGGTCCCCCCTGCGTTTCGGTCGGGTCGACCCCCATGGAGAGCCCCAGCATTCTTAAGGTGATATTTATTGGGTTTGTCCTATTGCCTGAAACAGTCAGTAAACATTTATGTATATATATATATATGCATATCACTATTTTTGAACAAGACCTGCAACCTAACCATAATCATCCACTGCTATATACTGGTAATAATCAGGACAAACCCCAATGTATATATCAGGCACTTCATGGCAAAGAGTCTTTGACTTTTTCAACGTGCGGTGCCTTGAGCACTCACACGCCGGGCGTTTCACCCGGGCTCGGCGCCGGTCCCCGGTCCGCATGGCCGTGTCGCCTTCCCGAGGGTGACGATGTGCTGTGTGACGCTCCGCCAGATGCCCAGAGATCCGATGGGCGCGTCCGCCGCACGCGCAAGCAGGAAGCGGAGGACATGGCGAGAAGGCGACCGGACAACATCGACCAAAAACCCCATGGGGACACTGCAAAAGCATTTCGCCCCTTTAATTGAAATGCCTCAGGACGCCGCTGCGACCTAAAGGCAAAGGAAAGGGTAAGGCGGGAGAGCTGGGCACCGCTTGACCAGTGGTTTGTCGGGCACACGTCGACGGTTGCTCGGGCATGGACTGGGCCGTTCGGTTTGGCATGTTTGGCGTTCTTCTTTCACGGCCGAAGACAGAGAACGAAAGAAACACATGGATCCGATGCATTCTGATGCATTCCTGTACAGTGTTTGAGTATGTGTGAGTAAAGTGAAACTTGTACTTACAGTGTCAGTTGCGATGACTAGTGATAGATGTGATAGTTTTTGCCATTTGAAGATGGGGTTTCACCCTGCAACCCATGATGCTCCCCACAACCCTGACGGTTTCGCCAGGTGCCCCGCCGTCCGCCCGGCGCGCCGCCGGGCGGACGGGGCGGACTGGGCATGCGACCCGCACGGGCGCCGTTCACGCCGGCGGTTTGCCCCAACCGGCGCGCGCCGGGCGGCTCAGTCCCCGAATCCGAAGCGAGGTCTTGTTATATCTCCTTCGTCTGACTAGAATAAGAGCTTTTAGTTGAGAAGTCATTACAGTCACAAGATCGTGCAAGTCAAGGCTTGAGGATGCTTGTTGACCCCCAAACAATGCGGGGAACGTGAGTCGCTAAGGGCGGTGCCATCGCTCGGCGTCGCACCCGATCCTCCGATCCCGACGCAAGGCACTCTAGTAGTGATCAACTTCATTTCATGTTGTTTGTTGCTAGTCGGTGCCATCATTCTTCCAGGTCCTATAGAGCTGTTGTGTCTTTGTTTTTTGCGGTGTGATCCTTGTTTTTCGCAGAAGAAGTGCGCACTCCCTCACTTCCGACATGCTCACTTGCTAGAAGTCGGAACTTCTTTCAAACACTCGGAACGAGATGACATGAGATGACTAAGATACTTGAACTTGACTGGGACAGGAAGTGCTTTCTCCGGTTGTGAACCGAGTTTCTCACTAGGACCTGTATCAGTAAGCCCGTGTATGATGTGTTGTTGATCTTTCAAAGGACTTGGACTTGACGACAAGGCAGAGCTCGTGTTGAACCAATTTTTTGGGGATGTGAAGTGTTGTTTCTTTCCCCACAGCCATTTGTCACATTGTGACATGTGGCAAAAGACCCTAGATGAACATCACCCATTTGGAAGACCAGGCACCGCTAAGTGTCTTCAAGAATGAATCGGTGCAAGACGGACAAAGGGGGAGAGGCCGAGAGTTGAGGCATAAGCCATTACCACTCATCCTTTTTCATCCTTTTCCCATTTCCAGATCATCATCATCATCATCGTCGTCGTCATCATCATCATCGTCGTCATCGTCATCGTCATCGTCATCGTTGTCGTCGTCGTCATCATGTGTTCTTTCTTTCTTGATGCACTCCGAGGTCGAAGTTTGTGTAGACCTGGACAATGCCATTGGTCCGTCCTGTTCACCACGAAGGTCTCAGGCCAAAGCATCCAGGTAGGCACCCAGTATCATCGTTCAGATGCACAGGCACACTGATGGTCATGCCAAAGTAGATGCTACATTGCCCACTGTCAGTGACAGCGGCATTCAGACACAAAAAACCGCACGGAAGCCTCAGAGCGGGACCATAGATCCTCATTGTTGAACGGGTGGTGCAGCAGCTTCAGTCAGCGTTCCAAGGGTGCTCTGAGGTGGGATCAAATCTCATATGTATATTGAAAAACGATCTCCACCGAAAAACCGCTGGAGAACCTTCCGATTCCAGCCAAGACACTGATTGAGCTCCTCGGTGCAGATCACAAACCAACCATAGAGGACAGTCATTGCAACGCACCTCTTCTGACAAAGGATGAACTCGAGCGGGTGGGGTGTACATCATGTAGCCACCAGCCACTGCATTCCATGATAACAGTTCGACAATGCCCTGAAGAGTCTTCAGTGCCAAGGCTGCCAAGGTTCACCATGGTGTGCGGGATGACATCCATGTTCAAAGTCAGGTCAGGAAAGGTCATCTCCTTGAAGGTCACCAAGTCTTGGTGAACAAGGATCTCCAGGTGGGTGTAAGTGGTACAAGCATGTAGCCCTAACGGGAAGAACGGTGCTTGTTCAGGTACAGGTCCACTAGCAAGGTATTGCCTTGGTGCTGCAGGTCTTGACAGCAATGGACACATTGGTGCCGTCCAGGAGCTTGATCTGGAAGGGCCTGAAAGGTCCTTACTGTGAGCGTATGGGCGTGGTCCAGCTTCTTATGTTGGGGTAGACCAGCCGTCCACAACCCACATAGGACACAGCTATCAGAAAGTTGCAGAGCATCTGATCTTCCTGCAGGGTCTGAAAATTTTTCGGACACCAGCTTCATTGATGTCCAGAAGTCAGCATCTGGAGGTCTCCAGAAGCTGTGGTGAATCGAGTGCACCTGCCCAAGCCCTTTTCCTGACCGGTGCATCTCTTGACGAGGTTGGCCTGGAACAGGACTCATAGTATCACGCCCGGTGCCACAGTGCTTTGTAGACTATCCTGAGGGCTGAGCCTATGTCCACCAGTCCATGTGGCTGGACTGGAACCCTCGCACCACCATGCAGCTGCAGGTGCATTAAGAACGGTCATGAAGAGGAACCAAACAAAAAAGTTCAGAGAGGACCTCAGCCTGAATGCATGGGGTTTGGGATCCAGGTGAGTGCTCTGGGAGATGATTCTTAAACAGCTCGATCATTGCCTGATTGAGGAGGTGCTGTGGTGGTAGGTCTGGTAGTTCAGCCTGAGACCTGTGCCGGTGCTCCAACGCCAGGTCAGATGCAAGATGAACAGGCTCAGAAGAGTAAGGTCAGGAGGTGAGAGTTCATGAGCAAGGCATCGGATCAGGGTGATCATGATGACAAGCAGCGCAACAACGGATCCAAGGTGGCGAGGTTCCGGAGCGCCTGACCACATGCAAGAGGATCAGCACGGAGGGCAAAAAAGGTAAGCAGGGCAGCTCGTTTGAGCCCTCGTGGCCCTTATCATCATCATCATCATCATCATCATCATCATCACCATCATCGTCATCGTCATCGTCATCCTCATCATCATCATCATCATCATCATCATCATCATCCTTCACCTTTTCCATCACCCGTGATCCATCTAAATGGTGATGGGTCAAAACTTGAAGCCCTGATCAACCACATAGCGAACGACCAACACCAGATAGGTCAACCAGGGTAAGCCTGGCGCCATGACTCAGCGCCTGAATAATACATTAATGATCAGTAACGATTAACTTTGTTTCTATGAATGTCTTATTAACAGGTTGCGCGTTTTAATAGAATATGTTCAGTTTCTTTCTTTCCCACCGGATGTCGCTTTCTCCCAGGCTCCGAGCCGCTGCGCGCGTCACAGGTGGAAGGGCCTTTTGGGACGGCGCCGCGCGAAGAGCCACAGAATGACCAGTGCAACGGTTGGACCACTTAATTGGAAACGGTGTTTGTCCCGTGGCATCTGGATGAAAAGAGCGGTCCTTGTCGGTGTGTGTGTGTGTGCGTGTGTGTGCGTGACACCCTTCGAGTCACAGGGATTCCGTTGAAGTTGTTCTCACTTTTTGCCGTGCTTTGGTCTCAACCTCTACTTTGGTAGACGCTTTATCGCAGGGGTGCCAGGGACCGCGCAAGTCTGGCAATAACAAAGACGCTTGCATTGGTCTGTGATATCAACTCGGGACGCCGAGTTGACGTACCTGCTCCGAACACATTGACGCCACTGGTCCTCCCTCGCTCGGGCTGTTTCCAGGTTCATCGGGTGATGTAATGCGCAAACGAGTTCTGCAGATGCGCACACTCGCCGTCATCCCGTCGCTCTCGTCCACTTTTCGAGCTCGTCTCGATTGGTGAATTTCAGGGAGGTTTTTTTTGAGGCCTCATGGTCAGAATGCCTTATTTACACTCACCTTGGTGTCTTAGGTTTTTACTTAGGCTGGCGAGTGGCAAACCGCAATCGTGTCAGCATGCATTTCCTAAGTGTGTGAATCGCGGGTTTGATCTTAATCTTAGCGTGGTGTCTGGTTTTGGAAAGAATTCGATTGGTTGAAGGTGTCATACGCGAAGATTGAAATCACTTACGGCCAAAAAGAAGCTCAAAACGTATCGGCATCATTTTGTGCGGCGGCAGCGAATCCGGTCCCTGGCCCCAGACTATATTCGGGGCAGACCGTTACACCTACTCTAAATCTGACCAAAAGCGTTCCCGGTACTTGAAAGCAACCAGATTGATTTGTATAATTGATGTAGTAGACGATTGGATATTGTTGAGTCAAACCTCTTGTCTCTAGAATGGCTTGATATCTCCATGTCTACTGTTGGTTTTGGTTCATCCACCCTGGGATCTGTTGGCATCATCTCTTCGTCGCGGATGCTTCGCGCTGCGCCGCGAACGCGCGAGGCGCCATCGACTTGGACGACGCAGCGGGCGCCATCGATTTAGGTTGACGCAGAGGTACGGAAACCATAGAGGAACGGAGCACATGGCACGCATAGATCTGGATCACGGGGTCAGAGGTCGCAGCTGGTTTTTTGGTGTTTCTTGTTTTTCTTCACTGGGTGGTGTTTTTGTTCCAAGGCATGACCTTTTGATGCATGTCTTTGGGTCTCAAGAACTCTTGCCCCGATCGTTGGTTGTGTCACCCCATAGTATGATGCAAATCATATTTTAGCTTAAAACAGCAAAGCAAATGAAAGACTGGACATATGATTGGATCGTTTGAACCAAAAAATGGTTTTGCATTTGTTGTGATGAAAAATACTTGTTTTTGCAATTCAAAATGATTCCAAGAGGTTCTCACTAGCATCATCAGTAGTAATGAGGCATACTGTAGACACCTATAGACGTTGCTTCAACAATGTACATTAGCTGCCACACGAGTGCCTCTTCGATGCTTTTCAGCTTGTCGTATTGCTTTTCTGCTTCTCGTATCCGGAACTTGTTTATTCCGGATCTTGTGGAAATAGTTGCTTGCTACCAACCCTCCGCCCAATTGACATCGCTATCCAAAAAGACTTTTTGGTGATGGCATGAATACAGGTTGGTTTGACTTACTGTAAATGTGTGGTATTGGTTGAACACAACACCCATGAAAACCGTTGTATGTATCTATATTTTAGCGGTTTTGTTTAAATCATTGATTATACTAACATAGAACAGTTCTTTTAAGCAACAATACACTTTTGTATTTATATGCATGTTTCATACTGAAATTGCTTCATAAATATTAGCTCTGGAAAGGTTAAATAGATGCTTTTTTTGAGTTGTATAGAATAGCTTAATAAGCAAAAAGAAATTAGGTTACTTATTTTCGAATGCGCGGGTTGGATTTGGGGATTCGTGTTTGTTTCGAGAGGTTTGGTGGGTCGGGCCTAGTTGTCGGGTCGTTGTGGATCGAAAATGTGTTTTATGGGGAGAATGTGTTAATTTGTGTGTGAAATATTACGCAAATGTGGTACAGGTTTCATGTTTCGTGAAAGTTTTAAGTGTTTGGTTATAATAAATTGGTGATTGCAGGGTGATTTATTAGAGATATTGATATTGTTATAAAAATAAAATTAATGATTTTTATTTTATTTATATTAATAAAAAAATATATATAATATTAATTAATAAATTAATGAAATATATTATAGAAAATAGAATTGATATAATATATTAACGAAATATTTGTTTGATTATTTTATAATTAAATATATATATAGTATAAATATTTATAGATTTTGGTTACCTTTTTGGCTTATAGAATGGGAGGAATGAATTTGATAAAGAAATTATAGATATTAGGGGATAGGAGAATAGGAAGATTTTTTTTTAAATAAAGAAAATGAATTGATTACATTTTGATTTTAATTGATGGGAATTATATTTATTCGATTCGTAGCTATTTGATTATTAATTTGATTAGTGTTTTTTTTGGATTATCGATTGTCGGATTTATATAATATTAGGAGATATTTTATTAAACATATAAAATCGAATTTCCGTATTTAATGAAAAGTATAAGGGATGGGAAATATATGGTTTGCCTATAAATGTTTTCTCTAAAATTTGGTAATTTTTACATGTTTTTTCTTTTATTTAATGATATGTTTTTTGATTTTTTTTTTATTATACATATAGATTTATTTGTAGATTTATTATGGAAATATATTTATTGTTTATAATAAAATTCTTTATGATAGATTATATATTGCTAATATTGAATGTGCATATTTATATTATAGCATTGAAATTCTCCGTAGGGCCTGGCAATTCTTTAGGCCTATTTTATTTTTATAAAATGGTCTGCTTTGAATCTCTTACTATTGTAAAGATTTACTTTTGGATTTCTTTATTAAAAAAAGACTAACAATCTATTATATATAGACAGATTTATTTACGTTGGGACCCAACCCCACAGATTTGGCAGGCAGGATCTGGAAAACAAGCCTCTTCTCAAAAAATGATATACCTTGACCCCGCACCATTATATAAAAATATCTATTTATAAATTTATTGGAAAATAAAAAAAAATCCTAGGGTCTACGGCAGCATTTTTTATGGTAGGGTGAACATTTTATGGCAGGAAGAGTCTTTGTGGCAATCCAGTTGGGATGCGATGGCAAATTGCAGTTGCGCTTGGGTAGCCTGCAGGCCCTGATTGGAATAGCTTTCAATCCACAAAAGAACAATCACCTGAGCAGCGTAGAAAAAAAGATAGAAAAAAAATAATCTAATTCTATATATATTTTGGAGATGCAAAAAAAAGAATATAGAAATAATATAAAACCATATAAATCAAATTTCAAAGATTCAAGAAAAATATAGGACCCAGAAATCTTGCCTTTTTCAATTAAAAAA